CCTTCCTCTTTTTTCAGCTCCCCTGTGGGCCACTTGTTTCTGAGGAGCTCAGCACTCGGGTTGACAAGGAAACCTGGAGGCTGAAAATAGAGCCAATTTCCCAGAATCTCAGGTAATGAGAGGGGAGAGGGGTGGGGACTTCTTGGACATGAGCTCACGTCAGCTGATGAAATGTGGCTGTCGTGAGCTCCACAGCTCACTCTGTTCAGGTCCTGGTGACAGGGAAGGAAGCCAGTTTCCCTGGGAAATACTGCAGAGGTTTCCACTGTATTTTCATAGACAGGAAAGGCTGAGCTCCCACACGCTGGAAACATGGGCCAGACTCAAATGAACTGGCGGCTGCGGCTATTTTTCTAATGAAAGTGCTCAATGAAGTCCCGCCTGTGAGAACTGCATTAGATCAATAGCCCTATAACTCTCATTTTAATGTTTGTCACCTGAGCACTAGAAGTTTTCTGTGAACAAGGTCTGTCAGCCCAGGCGTCTCATCCCCGAGCCCACTGGCTTCTGAAACACACTTCAGATTTGTGTAAAACTTATCATTTCAAAAGTAGCTTTGCAACTTGTCCAGATGGTCTTTGGCCCTTCATGTTATACACAACCTAGGAGCAAGGTGCCCTCAGTTATTAATACTGTTCATGGCACACCTGGGTCAGAACATCTCCTTCCTCAGCTTCTTTGCTTGTGGTACTGACTCAAGAAAATAATAATAGCAAACATTATGTATTAGTTCCCTATTGCCGTGTAATAAACTATCCCAAACTTAGCTGCTTTGAACAACAATAAATATTTATAATCTCAAGTTTCTGTTGGTCAGAAATTCAGGGGAAACTTAGTTTGACAGTTCTGGTTCCGGGTCTCTTACAAGGTTTCAGTCAAGATAACAGCTGTGGCTGCAGCCGTCTGAAGGCTTGCCTGGGGCTGGAGGCTCTGCTTCCAAGGTGGGGGACTCACCTGGCTGGCAATCTGGTGCTGGCTGTGGGTAAGGAGGACTTAGCTACTAAACTACGTAAAGATATTACTTTGATTCAATTTAAAAATAGATATTAAACTAAGTAAATCAATATTCACCAAGACAGATATAAAACCAAATTTTCCTACTGTTGTAATGTTGTCTACTGTCCTTTACACTGCCACCTATCTCTTTTAGGTACATGTCTACCCCCCCTGCTCTGCATGCTTCTCAGGATCAGGAGCTTTAGGTTATTAATATTTCTGGTGCCCAACCACCCTGTGTCCCGACCCAGCTCGACTTCTCCTCCATTGCCCAAGAGTTTGCACAGCATGACACACAAGAAGGTGCTCAAAATGAAGAGAATTCAATAGAATCATGTTCTACCTGTAGTCCATTCCACAGCAGAGACCTCACTAACTCCGAGGAGAACCTCCACCCATGCTCAGTTAGAGTGAGCAGAACCGTGGATCTCGGTTGTCCTGGTTTGATCCCCACAGATGCACTATAACATCAGAAGCGCAGACAGTAGTGGACCATGGGAAGGTAGGAACAGGAGCAGTGGCCCCAGTGATTGCTTTTCTAGGCTAGGCCAGGGACTCTACTCTAGCTGGAGTTCCAGGCAGAGTAGATATATTTAAAGGTGGCCGCTCACCCTCAAACATGGTCCTGAGGGCTACTTGTGACTTATCACGTGGAGAAATCAGTCCCTGGCTGAGCTGTGGAGGCGCAGAGTGAAACAAATCCTTCTCATTTAAAAAG